TCATCCAGTCCAACCCCATTCTGCCAAGAAGCAGGAATATTGCATTCAAAGCACCCCTGACAGATGGCCATCCAGCCTCTGTGTAAAAACTTCCAAAGAAGGAGCCTCCACCACACTCCGGGGCAGAGAGTTCCACTGCTGAACGGCTCTCACAGTCAGGAAGTTCTTCCTCATGTTCAGATGGAATCTCCTCTCTTGTAGTTTGAAGCCATTGTTCCATTGCGTCCTAGTCTCCAGGGAAGCAGAAAGGAAGCTTGCTCCCTCCTCCTCTGTGGCTTCCTCTCACATATTTATACATGGCTATCATATCTCCTCTCAGCCTTCTCTTCTTCAGGCTAAACATGCCCAGCTCCTTAAGCCGCTCCTCATAGGGCTTGTTCTCCAGACCCTTGATCATTTTAGTCGCCCTCCTCTGGACACATTCCAGCTTGTCAAGATCTCTCTTGAATTGTGGTGCCCAGAATTGGACACAATATTCCAGGTGTGGTCTAACCAAAGCAGAATAGAGCATGGGGAGCATGACTTCCCTGGACCTAGACACTAGGCTCCTCGTGATGCAGGCCAAAATCCCATTGGCTTTTTTTGCCGCCACATCACATTCCTGGCTCATGTTTAACTTGTTGTCCACGAGGACTCCAAGATCCTTTTCACACGTTCTGCTCTTGAGCCAGGCATCGTCCCCATTCTGTATCTTTGCATTTCGTTTTTCCTGCCAAAGTGGAGTATCTTGCATTTGTCCCTGTTGAACTTCATTTTGTTAGTTTTGGCCAATCATCTCTCTAATCTGTCAAGATCGTTTTGAATCCTGCTCCTGTCCTCTGGAGTATTGGCTCTCCCTCCCCATTTGGTGTCGTCTGCAAACTTGATGATCATACCTTCTAGCCCTTCATCTAAGTCATTAATAAAGATGTTGAACAGGACCAGGCCCAGGACGGAACCCTGTGGCACTCCACTCGTCACTTCTTTCCAGGATGAAGAGGAAGCATTGGGGAGAATCACCCTCTGGGTTCGTCCATTTAACCAATTCCAGATCCACCTCACCGTAGTTTTGCCTCGCCCACATTGGACTGGTTTCCTTGCCAGAAGGTCATGGGGGACCTTGTCGAAGAAGGCCTTCCTGAAATCCAGGTACGCTCCATCCACAGCATTTTTGCGTAAATTCCTGAGAACTTGTTTCTGTGCAAAGTTACAGATGCCAAGAAACTGAGAGGGGGGCTCAACTGTCACAGGGTACAAGTATTTAGTAAAGCAATTTGGATTGTTCTGCTATTTTATGTCCTATGAGGTGCTAGAAATCTGTGTAATTTCTAAGGTGACATGAATCAGAAATTATAAATTCAGCATGTTTTGAAACTATGCAGCTATGTAACAGTTAGGGATCCTTCTTGCCCTTTGCAACTGTTTTATGATCACCAGGCTCAAAGAATTCCTGGAGCTTTCATCATTGCAACGCCAAGAAGTTTCAATGGACGTCTGCCTCGTAGTCTAAGATCTGCTGGGGGACTCAGAGCGGCTAACAATGGCAACAATTCGATGCCGCAATAATTACAATTATAAAAGCAAAATAAAATCATACAATATAATACATTAAAACAACATTAGTTATCCAAACTAAAGGCATTTCCATTATAACAACCGTCTGGTCCAATTCACAGTTCAGGTGCTGTTATATCCATTATCTGAAAGCCTGGTTTCACAACCACATCTTCAGTTTTCTTCTGAAAGAAAGGAGAGAAGATGGCGATCTAATTTCGCTGGGGAGCGAATTCCACAGGCGGGGGGTCACCACCAAGAAGGCCCTGTCCCTCGTCCCCACCAGCCGTGTTTACGAAGCTGGTGGGACCAAGAGCAGGGCCTCCACGGCAGATCTTAGACTACGAGGCAGAACGTAGAAGGAGATACGTTCGGACAAGTAAGTTGGGCCAGAATCGTATAGGGCTTTATAGGCCAAGACCAGCACTTTGAATTGTGCTCAGAAATGGACCAACAACCAGTGGAGTTGACGTAACAAGGGGGTGGCATGCTCCCTGTATGATGCTCCAGTGAGCAGTCTGGCTGCTGCCCACTGGACTAGTTAAAGTTTCTGAACAGTTTTCAAAGGCAACCCCACGTAGAGTGCGTTGCAGTAATCTATTCGGGATGTAACCAGAGCATGGACCACTGTGGCCAGATCAGACTTCCCAAGGTACGGGCGCAGCTGGCGCACAAACTTTAACTGTGCAAAGGCTCTCCCAGCCACTGCTGAGACCTGGGGTTCCAGGCTCATCGATGAGTCCATGATCACTCCCAAGCTGCGAACCTGCGTCTTCAGGGGGAATGTGACCCCATCCAACACAGGCTGTAACCCTATGCCCTGTTCGGCCTTTCAACTGACTGTCTGGATTCAATTTCAATTTGTTAGCCCTCATCCAGTCCAACACAGCAGCCAAGCTGGTCTGAACAGCCTCCTTAGTAAAAGGTGGGAAGGAGTGACAGATTTGGATGTCATCTGCATACAGATAGCACCTTACTCCGAAACTCCGTATGATCTCCCCCAGCGGCTTCATGTAGATGTTAAATCACATCGGGGACAGTACTGAACCCTGAGGGACTCCACAAGACAACGGTTGTGGAGCCGAACAGGTGTCACCCTGTGAAACCCTCTGAGACTGGCCCTCCAGGAAAGACTGGAGCCACTGCAGAACAGTACCTCCAAGTCCCATTCCTGTGAGGCATCCCAGAAGGATACCGTGGTCAATGGTATCGATGACTGCTGAGAGTGCCAGCAGAACCAACAGGGACACACTCCCACCCCCCTCTAGCTCCTGGCGTAGATCATCTATTAAGGCGACCAAGGCTGTTTCAGTTCCATGTCCCGGCCTAAAGCCAGACTGTGCCGGAGTGATCATGTCTATTGCCCTGGTCGTCTCCCATTCCTGAGAGAGACCAGAGCATCAACAGGGTCACTTACTGAGGAGGCGGGAAAATCCGCAAGAGCCGTCAGGAATCTGCTGGGATCCATAAGTCTCCTGGGGCAGACCAATTTAATGGGTCCACTACCGCTGTAGAGGTTTGGGGAGCTGAATAAGTCTAAACCTGTTCAGGTGTAAATAAAAAAATTAAAAAAACACCTGATCAGGTGTTGGTTGGTCCATGGCAAAGGAGCAATGGTCAGCTCCTCCACACTGCCACCTTCTTCCCATCCCTGACAGAAAACCAGATCTAATGCGTGCCCAGCACTGTGGGTGGGACCAGATACTAATTGGGACAGGCCCATGGTTGCCATGGCGGTCATGAAGTCCTGAGCCGCTCCTGACAGAGTGGTATTGACATGATCATTGAAGTCTCCCAGCACTATAAGCCATTGAGACTCCCAACGCCAGACCTGAGACCACTCCGGCTAGCTCAGGTAGGGAGACTGTAGTGCAGCGGGGTGGTTGGTACACTAACAGAATCCCGGTCACCTACCTTCAGGCAGACACATTCAAAGGTGGTTGACTGTGGGATGGGGCACCTGGTCAGGGGGATGGTATCCTTATAGACTCACCTCCCCGCCCTCCAGGTCTTGACGCGTGCTGTACGGAGTAACCTGGTGGACAAAGCTGGGAGAGATTCACCTCCCCGCCCCAGCCTCATCCAACCAGGTCTCAGTTATATATGCCAGGTCAGCGTGTTCTTCAAGGATCAAATCATGAATAATAGATGTTTTTTCCATTAACTGACCTGGCGTTGAACAATACCACTCTCAGCATGGAGGGACCGCCATCCTGGGTACTCAGCTTAACTTTGTCAGGAGCCCGATTTAAATTTATATGAGTTCTTTCATTCACTCTAGGCCAAATTGGTAAATTAGATCTATTACACGTTTTGGGCCGAATCAATACTTTAGGTTTTAAAATATATTTCTGGCCGAATAGGTAATTTAGATCTTCCACAAATTTTAAGCCAAATCGATAATTTGGGTCTCCTTTTCCCATATCTCCCCCTTCCCGTTACCACCTCGATAGGGCCTCCCTGCCCACAACAACCCCTCTCCCCAGCCAGTTCTCCTTCCCTCTCTTCAGCGGATTTAGCCTCTAGAGGAGAAGGCTGAGAGGAGACATGATGAGGGCCATGTATAAATATGTGAGAGGAATATGTCCTAGGGAAGAGAGAGCAAGCTTCCTTTCTGCTGCCCTGGAGACTAGGACGCAATGGAGCAATGACTTCAAACTAAGGAAAGGAAGACATTCCACCTGAACATTAGAAAGATCTTCCTGACTGTGAGAGCTGTTCAGCAGTGGAACTCTCTGCCCCGGACTGGAGGCTCCTTCTTTGGAAGCTTTTAAACAGAGGCTGGATGGCCATCTGTTGGAGGTGCTTTGAATGCAATTTTCCTGCTTCATGGCAGAATGGGGTTGGACTGGATGGCCCACCAGGTCTCTTCCAACTTGATGATTCTATGATTCTATGAAATGTAAATGTCCACTCTGAGTGATGCCATCTTGGAAAATGCCTACAAACTTTTATTATATTGATAGATAGCTATAGAAAATGTGAATGATGTTGCTGGGGAGTATAAAAGTAAAAGTTTTCCCCCTGACATTAAGTCCACTCGTGTCCGACTCTGAGACTCTGGTGCTCATCTCCATTACTAAGCCGAAGAGCCAGTGTTGTGCGTAGACACCTCCAAGGTCATGTGCCCACTGGCATGACTGCATGGAGCGCTATTACCTTCCTGCCACGGCTGTACTCACATTTGCATGTTTTCAGACTGCTAAATTGGCAAAAGCTGGGGCTAACAGCAGGAGCTCATGCTGTTCCCTGAATTCGAACCTGCGACCTTTTGGTAAGCAAGTTCAGCAGCTCAGTGGTTTAACCTGCTGCACCACTGGGGGCTCCTGGGGTGTAAAGACCTATGAAAAGACAATGTAAACAAACAATTATAGTATGTTAAAAGATAAAGACACAATTAACATTTTTAAAACGAACAAGAAGTTTTATGGCTTGAATCTCTCATCTATGATTTCTTTCTTGAACAGCACGGAGATGAGGATTCTGTGGAGCCCCCTCTGGCATGATGAGAAGCAAACCAGCACGTAGTGGTCACGTGGTAGCAAAAGTGTGGTGAGGAAAAAGGAATCCCCTTAAAGAGCTGAAATCTTGACCTCACGGTGGATCAGAAAGGAAAAAACAAGAGCCAAGTGTCCATATTGCAGTTAAACATACATATGTAACTGTTGACATGAAGGGCAAAGCATATAAATATACAGAATGTGAGAAGAACTTTAGTCAGCCTGAAGACCTGCAGGGACATCTAAAGATTCACACTGGGGAGAAACCCTATAAATGCCAGGAGCATGGAAAGAACTTCTTTAAGAGTCAAAGCCTGCGTTTACATCAAAGAACTCACACTGGGGAGAAACCACACACATGCCAGGAGTGTGGAAAGAGCTTCACTTATCATTCAGGTCTACGTACCCATCAAAGAACCCACACTGGGGAGAAACCCTATAAATGCCTGGAGTGTTGAATGAGCTTTGCTCAGAATGGAGACCTACGTAAACATCAAAGGATTCACACTGGGGAGAAACCCTATAAATGCCTGGAGTGTAGAATGAGCTTTGCTCAGAATGGAGACCTACATAAACATCAAAGGACTCACACTGGGGAGAAACCCTATAAATGCATGGAGTGTGGAACGAGCTTTGCTCGGACTTCAAGTCTCCGTACCCATCAAAGGAGTCACACAGGGGAGAAACCCCACACATGCCATGAGTGTGGGAAGAGCTTCACACTGAGTGGACATTTACGTGAACATCAAAAAACGCACACTGGGGAAAAACCATACACATGCCAGGAATGTGCAGTGAGCTTCACTTCTCATTCAGGTCTACGTTACCATCAAAGAACCCACACTGGGGAGAAGCCTTATAAATGCATGGAGTGTGGAATGAGCTTTGCTCGGAGTTCAACTCTCCGTACCCATCTAAGGACTCACACTGGGGAGAAACCCTATACATGCCTGGAGTGTGGAATGAGCTTTACTCAGAGTGGAGTCCTACGTTTACATCAAAGAACTCACACTGGGGAGAAGCCTTATAAATGCATGGAATGTGGAATGAGCTTCGCTCGGAGTTCAAGTCTGTGTAAACATCAAAGGACTCACACTGGGGAGAAGCCTTATAAATGCATGGAGTGTGGAATGAGCTTTGCTCGGAGTTCAACTCTCCGTACCCATCTAAGGACTCACACTGGGGAGAAACCCTATACATGCCTGGAGTGTGGAATGAGCTTTACTCAGAGTGGAGTCCTACGTTTACATCAAAGAACTCACACTGGGGAGAAGCCTTATAAATGCATGGAATGTGGAATGAGCTTCGCTCGGAGTTCAAGTCTGTGTAAACATCAAAGGACTCACACTGGGGAGAAACCCTATAAATGCATGGAGTGTGAAACGAGCTTCACCCGGAGTTCAAGTCTGCATACCCATCAAAGGACTCACACTGGGGAGAAACCCCACACATGCCAGGAGTGTGGGAAGAGCTTCACACTGAGTGCATATCTACGTACACATCAAAGAACTCACACTGGGGAGAAACCCTATAAATGCATGGAGTGTGGAACGAGCTTCACTCAGAGTTCAAGTCTGCATACCCATCAAAGGACTCACACTGGGGAGAAACCCCACACATGCCAGGAGTGTGGAATGAACTTTAATAAGAGTCAAAATCTGCGTTTACATCAAAGAACTCACACTGGGGAGAAGCCCTATAAATGCATGGAGTGTGGAATGAGCTTCACTCAGAATTCAAATCTACGTTCCCATCAAAGAACTCACACTGGGGGAAAACCCCATAATTGCATGTTGTGTGGAAAGAGCTTCAGTTCCAGTAAAAGTCTACGTTCTCATCAAAGGACTCACACTGAGGAAAAAACCCTATAATTGCATAGAATGTGGTAAGAAGTTCACTCAGAGTTCAGGTCTGCGTACCCATCAAAGAACTCACACTGGGGAGAAACCCTATAAGTGCCTGGAGTGTGGAAAGAGCTTCGCTTGTGGTTCAAATCTACGTTCACGTCAAAGGACTCACACTGGAACAGTAGCCCTTGATGCCAGAGACTCTAGTATGTACAAAGGCAACTCTAGTAAATGTTGTAAATGGGAGCACAACATTGAAACATTTTACCATATGTGATGGTCTTGCAGAAAGGCCCAGAAATATTCAATACATACTGTTGGAATTCAACCCCACGCTGCTCAAGTCTGCAGTCCTCAATAAGGAACAGTTTGTTGGGAATAGCAACCTTCTACAAGCCTCCCATACTAGTTATTGTGTAAATAATTAAAATTGCTTACTATATTGGATCTCCAGCAAAGGATTGCTGCCATCTTGAAAGGTTTATTTTTTGCTCTCTTAGTTGATATAAGATGGAGATGCTTATTTTGTGTTACAAGGACTGTGTAAATTTATTGCATTGCTTGTTTTTTGTATGCAACATTGCAAGTTTATGTTTCATTTCTGCTGAGTAAAGAGTAAAGATTTTTCTGTTCACTTTTACTCTTGTCTGTGAGTCTATTGCATTTGGACTTTGGGCGCTGGGATGTTGAGTAAAATATGCTGCTGCATAACAATTCTGTGTGCCCAGGAGGGAGTCTCTCATCCGGTCTCAGCCACTGGTTGGGTTTCCGGGTTTTAGCCTGCCACTTTTGGACTCTCGCTTGCTGAAGTGTACCTGCGAGTGTCTCTGTAGATCTTAGGAAGCTGTTTCTAGATTTAAGTCATTGGCATGCTGGCTGATATCTGAACAGGGGATGGGCCAGAGATTTCAATGCCTTGGTCCTTTCACTACAGGATGTTACTTCCCAGTGGATATTGGGTGGTGCAATACCGGCTAAACAATATAACTTCTCCAACTGTATAGGCATCCTATGATAACACTGATGGAGCAAACATGCTTCCCTGAGGCAGGCCGCTCTTCTGTTTTGGCCATCTGCTTCTGACCCTGGAACTCAACAAAAGAGCTCCTGTTTTGTAGCAGATTTCCTGTGATGCAGGGGAGATAGCCGTCCTTTGTGATATTGCACTTTTTTTTTCACGAGGAGGCAATGTTATACAGTATCATAAGCTGCTGGTATGTCTGTGAAGACAGGTCCTGCCATCTGCTGTCTTTCAAAACTATCTTCTAGGTCAGTGATGGGCAACCTTTTGAGCTTGGTGTGTCAACATTTGCCAAAAACCTGAGCATAACTTGAGTGGGGGTGTCACTTGGAGAAAAAACCCATAATTTTGCTATATTTATAGTTTAAATAAGAAAAATGTATATTCTATGCTGAGTTATGGAGTGAACAATGCTCAAACGTGCAGATGTTAAATTTGTAGAGCCTTTTACAAATTTAAGGGTGGAATTAGATTGGCTCTTATAAAGTGTACTTCTTTGTATGCAGCTGCATGTGTCTGTGTGTCATCAAAAATAGCCATGCGTGTCAGTGCTGACACGCGTGTCATAGGTTCACCA